GACTGGAACACATCACGATCGTGTGTTCCCACGACATTTACCAGTTAATATACAGAGAATTGGAATACATCAAAAGTGCCCATCATATTTACCAGTAAATATGCAGAAAAATTGATCACATCACGATCGTGGGAGTGCCCACCATATTTAAGGTCATAGGAGTGTATTGCTAAACGGAAACAGGAAGTACATCCCTAGTTGAAAATCCTATTATATTAAATAATATTTAAGTATTGCAAAGCAATCAAGGTATTAATTCAGTTGTTTTTTAATCAATGAGTCACATGTGTCCATTTTTCTGTACTTCAGAAAACCGGCTACCTATTTCACTACTGTGAAGTTTTTCAAGAACGATAACTCTTGCATGCAATTAGTATGTGTATATGGTTTTATTATAAAATGTCAATTTTTAATCGTTTATAGATGATTATTTTTTTTTACAATTTCAGCATTTATGAAATTGATATATATAAATGCAATTCTAATCTATGTTAGTATCAATTTTATTGAAATTATTTTGCAAAATAAATGTGTGTTTCAATTTTTTTTCAAAATTCAATCCTTTTTACATAAATTCCATTTAAAATCCTTAAAATTCTGACAACCTTCATTTTTTTTTGTGGCAGAAAATTTTCTTTATTTTAAAGCAATATAACTACAAAATTTGAATAATTTCTACTGAGAAATGGCGACACAATCCTATTACCTTTTAACAGTTAATATATACAGAGGAATGGAACACATCAAAAGTGCCCATAATATTCAACAGTAAATATACAGAGGACTGGAACACATCAAAAGTGCCCACCACATCTAACAGTAAATATCCAGAACAAGAGTACCGCATGGCGGAACAATATATGCCCGTCGAATGCCATATAGTGTTATATACTATCTTACATTAAAATAAGATTTGCATCACCTTAAGAGTGACTAGCTAGCATGCTATAAATCTCACCTTTCACTACAAAGACTATGTTCGATTTTCTTTAACTTTCTAACTGTTTGAGGAAAACAAGTAATCAAAAGATTAGTCTCCAACTCATTAAACACAACTTGATATCATGATTATAAAGCCTGCCAAGTTTCAAAGAAATCGATAGAAAACTGTAGAAAGAGACCTCCGGATAAGATTCGAAATTCTATAAATAAACAAAGGGCAATAACTTCTGCAAAAATAGTCGAATCAAAAATGTGTTCTAAGAAACATAACTATATATCATGACTATAACGATTTCCAAGTTTCAAAGAAATCGGTCGAAAAAAGTAGGAGGAACTTTCCAGACAAAAATCAATTAATGAAATATACAAAGGACCATAACTTTTGCAAAAATAATCAAATCAAAATTCTTTTTGTGCAAACAAAACAACAAATCATGATTATAATGTCTAACAAGTTTCAAAGACATCGGTTGAAAAATGTAGTAACAGTTATCATAAACAGTAATTTACTGTTAAAAATGTAATGATCGCCGGACAAAAATCAAATACTGAAATAAACAAAGGGCAATAACTTTTGCAAAAATTGTCAAATCAAAATTCTTTTCAGGGAAACACAACAACATATCATGATGATAAAGCCTACCAAGTTTCAAAGAAATTGTCGTAAAATGTAGTAGGAGATCTCCGGACAAAAAATCAAATACATATCATGATAATAAAGCCAAACAAGTTTCAAAGAAATAAACAAAGGGCAATGACTTTTGCAAAAATAATTGAATAAAAATTCTTTTCAGGAAAACACAACTTCATATCATGAGTATAATCACGGTCTAATCTAATTCCGTGGTATAATGTATACCAAGTTTCGAAGAGATCGGTCGAAAAATGTTGGAGTAAATGTCCGGCCAAAAAAAACAAATACTGAAATAAACAAAGGGGTATAACTTTTGGAAAAATTATCGAATCAAAATTCTTTTAAGGGAAACACAACGTCATATTATGATTATAATGTTTACTAAGTTTCAAATAGATCGGTTGAAAAATGTAGGAGGAGAGTGAAATATACAAAGGGCAATAACTTCTGCAAAAATTGTCGCATCAAAATTCTTTTTGGGGAAACACAACTTCATATCATGGTTATAATTTTAAATGTATACCAAACTTCAAAGAGATCGGTCGAAAAATGTAGGAGGAGATCGCCGGACAAAAATCAAATACTGAAATAAACAAAGGGGAATAACTTTTGCAAAAATTGTTGAGTCAAAATTCTTTTCAGGGAAACACAACAACATATCATGAGGATAAAGCCTACCGAGTTTCAAAGAAATCGTTCAAAAAATGTAGTAGGAGATCTCCGGACAAAAAATCAAATACTGAAATAAACAAAGGGGGATCACTTTTGCAAAAATAGTCAAATCAAAATTCTTTTCAGGGAGTTACAACTCCATATCCTGATTATAATGTATACAAAGTTTCATAGAGATCGGTCAAAAATGTAGAAGGAGATTGCCGAACAAACAAAAGTTTACGCCAGACAGAGGGACGGACAGACAACGTCATACCAAAATACTCCCGTCAAATTTGACGGGCGTATAAAAATGGAGCACATTACGAGTGCCCACAATATTTAACAGTTAATATATACAGAGGAATGAAACACATCAAAAGTACCTACTACATTTAACAGTACATATACAGAGGACTGGAACACATCGAGTGCCCACCATATTTAACAGTACATATACAAAGGACTGGAACACATCAAAAATGCCCACCACATTTAACAGTAAATAAACAGAGGCCTGGAACACATCAAAAAGTATCGACCATATTTAACAGTAAATATGCAGAGGACTGGAACACATCGAGTGCCCACCACATTAAACAGTAAATATACAGAGGAATGGAACACATCAAAAGTGCCCACTATATTTACTTAACAGTACATGTAGATATTCCGTCTTTGCGTATTGCAGAGTTATCTTCTCTTGTGAGCAGGTATTGATATAATATTCAACAGTAAATATACAGAGGACTGGAACACATCAAAAGTGCCCACCACATTTAACAGTAAATAAACAGAGGACTGGAACACATCAAAAAGTATCCACCATATTTAACAGTAAATATACAGAGGAATGGAACACATCACGATCGTGTGTGCCCCCCACATTCAACAGTAAATATACAGAGGACTGGAACACATCAAAAGTGCCCACCACATTTAACAGTAATTATACAGAGGACTGGATCACATCAAAAGTACCCACCATATTTAACAGTAAATATACAAAGGACTAGAACACATCAAAAGTGCCCACCACATTTAACAGTAATTATACAGAGGACTGGATCACATCAAAAGTCCCCACCATATTTAACGGTACATATACAAAGGTCTGGAACACATCAAAAGTCCCCACCATATTTAACAGTCAATATACAGAGGACTGGAACCCTTCAAAAGTGCCCACCACATTTAACAGTAATTATGCAGAGGACTGGATCACATCAAAAGTACCCACCATATTTAACGGTACATATACAAAGGACTGGAACACATCACGATCGTGTGTTCCCACCATATTTACCAGTAAATATACAGAGGACTAGAACACATCAAAAGTCCCCACCATATTTAACAGTCAATATACAGAGGACTAGAACACATCGAGTGCCCACCATATTAAACAGTAAATAAACGGAGAAATGGAACACATCACGAGTGCTCACCATAGTTATAAGAAACTATATAGAGAAATGGAACACATGAGATGTTCCCACCATATGTAACAAATAATATAAAAAAGAGAACTTGCAGGGAAATGGAATTTAGGAGAATTTCACATCATATTTAAAAATACAGAGGAAGCGAATTTACAGAGAAATGGAATGGATGACAAGTTCCCATCATATTTAATGGTAAAAATACAGAGGAAGAGAATTTACAGAGAATCTGAATATATGAGAGGTTCTCACCATATGTAACAGTTAATATAGCGAGGTAGAGAACACATCACAGTTTCCCACCATGATATTTTATCTCCAGTCCACCTGTATACTGTGTGTGTCAGGTGTGAGGCTGCTTCAAAGGGCAGTACGCGGAGATGTGTCAAACACTACAATACACTCGGCTGATGTAAATAGGCAGTAAATACACACAATCCAAACCTGTAATTTTACTTTAATTATCTTATCTACAAATATATATGTCAGTACTTACAACAACTTGTGCACCCTATCACAGCTCCTGCTTGAACATTCCAGCGGTAAACAGCTGAGCAATTTGTTTGTAGATGAAGTCTAGGTAGTGAACCTGACATTCATTTCAGTGAAATTGACATTCATTGTTGTGAAATTGCTGTTCATTGTCACCAACAGGTGGTCAAAACGTACCATATAGACACTACTGACCAGCTACTTACAGACACTGTGTACATCACAAAGAACTTTTATTTCATAAGATCAAACTTTCTCCTCTTTGGGCCTGGACCAAATTCCCACAGTGATGTTCAAAATACTGCTTGTTATACTTACTGTTATTATGGTATCACATTGACAAATAAACTTAAGTTGTACAGTTTTTTATTTTTTTTAAATACAACAAATAAAATAAATGTCAAGTTAAGTAGTATCGTGTCTATACTGGAAGTAGAGTCTGGTCTATACAGGATGTAGAGTCTGGTATATACAGGAAGTAGAGTCTGGTCTAAACAGGAAGTAGAGTCTGGTCTATATGGGGAGTAGAGTCTGGTCTATATGGGGAGTAGAGTCTGGTCTATACAGGAAGTAGAGTCTGGTCTATACAGGAAGTAGAGTCTGGTCTATATGGGGAGTAGAGTCTGGTCTATATGGGGAGTAGAGTCTGGTCTATACGGGAAGTAGAGTCTGGTCTATACGGGAAGTAGAATCTGGTCTATACAGGAAGTAGAGTCTTGTGAGTCTGGTCTATACAGGAAGTAGAGTCTGGTCTATACAGGAAGTAGAGTCTGGCGCCTGATTCATACAGGAAGTAGAGTTGTGTCTATATCAAAAGGTTTTTATGAGAGTTATCTCACCCTGGCATCTCTGACTGGTCCCTGATGTCCTTGCAGCAGTCGAACACTGGTCATTGTCATCATGTCCCATTCCCGGATGGTTCCGTCTCTACAACAAAATCATAAACACAACATGTTACTTTAGTCTAGATCAGTTCAGCAACATAAGTCAATCAAATCAATGCTCATTTCACAGACAGTAACGCTACAATTTCTCTAAAATTATTATCATTATCAGATCTCAAGTAAGAGTAGTATTTGAGCAGTAATCAATATCAGATCTTCTTACATCCTAATACGATTTTGATTATGTTGGAGTAATATCAAGATAAAAATAAGAATTTCCAACTTTTTAAATTGAAACACAGATACAGATACAATTCTCACCCGGAGGCTGTGATGAAACGACCTTGGTGGTAATTGACCCTGTAGATGGGTTTGTCATGGGCCTGTATGGCAGCTTCACTCTCACCGGACATCTTGTTCCAGAAATAAACACGGCCCTGCAGGTCCCCACTCAGGATTAATTCCCCCTGAATCTTTTGGAATTAAAATGAAATTGATTGTTAAAAGCCTTACTAAAAGGTTAGGAATTCATTTCACTTCACCTCATCACAAAAATGATGAGATCATCTACAAATAACATTTCCTTATCTTAAGAACTGTAAAGAATTCTGCATATAAATACAATATCATCAAACACTATCATAACCTAATAACAGTAAACATTCAGAGAAATGGAACCGGTCACATGAAATGTACAGAGAACTGGAACACATGAGACTTGCCAGGATATTGAAACAAATACAGATAGAAGCTGATGTAGAACAGTAAACTATCTGTACCTGTATAGTTATATCACATGAGTGTAAATAAGGCCGTCTAAAAAATCAAGTCAGACTTTGTATAGTCGTAGTACACATACCACTGTCTAAAAACAGACCCAGCATATAAAGGTCGGCAGGATTTAAGATTTAAGTCGAAATCATGTCCAACCATTTAACGCTTGTTCCAGTTTTTTCCCCCGTCTGGATGGGATTTTAAGTGTTTCAGAATTTATTTTTGCCAGTTTGATTAATGGGGGTTCAGTTTGACTACCTGATAAGATGGCTGCATGAAACATTGCATTACTCTATAATCTTTTCATCACTGCTCAAGTGTCTGATGATAAACCTAATCATAATAAATTGCTTTCTGAAACAGACACAATTTATCTATCAATTCAATTAATTATGATGTCTCTCTTTTTTTCACCACCATTTCACAATCTTTTTAAATTGGTTCTAGTGTCTGAGAAATGTTCCCTGTAAAGTCTGTTTTATAAGTTGTTTTATCAATTTTCAATCACAAGCCACTTGATTTCATATTTATGAGAAATGAACTCAGAATTTAAGACCAACTAATATGCAGGAGATCACAAGGTACACGCCTCCTTCCTACCCTGTCCCCCTCCCTGCTCCCCTACCCTGTCCCCCTCCCTGCTTCCCTACCCTATCCCCCTCCCTGCTCCCCTACCCTGTCCCCCTCCCTGTTCCTTCCTACCCTGTCCCCCTCCCTGCTCCTTCCTACCCTGTCCCCCTCCCTGCTCCCCTACCCTGTCCCCCTCGAGCTCCCTGCTCCTTCCTACCCTGTCCCCATCCCTGCTTCCCTACCCTGTCCCCCTACCTGCTCCCCTCTTTCAATATTCAACACATGTATTATAATAATGTCACTATATATATTTAAANTCTGTCCCCCTCGAGCTCCCTGCTCCTTCCTACCCTGTCCCCTCCCTGCTTCCCTACCCTGTCCCCCTCCCTGCTCCCCTACCCTGTCCCCCTCCCTGCTCCCCTACCCTGTTCCCCTCCCTGTTCCTTCCTACCCTGTCCCCCTCCCTGCTCCTTCCTACCCTGTCCCCCTCCCTGCTCCCATACCCTGCCCCCCTCCCTGCTCCTTCCTACCCTGTCCCCCTCCCTGCTCCCCTACCCTGTCCCCCTCGAGCTCCCTGCTCCTTCCTACCCTGTCCCCATCCCTGCTTCCCTACCCTGTCCCCCTACCTGCTCCCCTCTTTCAATATTCAACACATGTATTATAATAATGTCACTATATATATTTAAACACTCTTTCATAATTGCTTGATTTTCGTTTGGTATTTACGTCTTTAAAGTATTCATTTCTACTTTTAATTTTGATAGACAGTCAATCAAGATTGATTAAGTGACCCTGGAGTCACAGTTATAAACTTTACAGACTCCTTATAACATCAGATAAAACACTTGTGCTTGGTACCAAATTTAAATATCAATTACTACATATCTCCTCTATATTAGGACAGATCAGTTTCGTTTCTAAATTGAGATATATTTTGACAAGAAACTCCATGCCCTTAGATGATCGGATAGTATTGATAATTTGATGATTACTTTGTACAGAATGTTAAAAGCCAAACTATTTTGCAAACATTTTAAATGATCTTTAGAAAATAGTTTGTCCATTTAACCTCATGTACGTCATAAAGATTTGGCAAGGAAACTTTATCTATTTGAGGTTTTACACATTAACGTAAATCTTGACGTCCTAATTGGGACGTCCCTGTCTATGAGAGTTTAATGTGGGTCCGGTATTGTCTGTCGGATAGGTAGTACAATACTCGCACAATGAATATCGAGTTTGTCAGGCGAACATCACCAATATACTATAATCATGTAATCGACAGATGAATGAAATTCCAGCCAAAGTGACCCGATTGTTCCTATATGTAGACCCAGCTTTGACTGTAGAGGTTATGTTATTAATGTTAAACGAGTTGGGCGTGGCAGAGAAATGCAGGTGCTGTGTAGATAATGCACACCATAGAACTAACTAATGCTCCAATTCTACTTAATACCCTTCCCGAGTTCTGAATTTATTCTATCAAATGACACAGGTAATGAATAGGCCACATAACAGGGAAGGCCAGCGTGTATAGTTTTTGTACTTTCCACCGAAATGTGTTTATACCTCACTCTATTCATAACAAAAGATGTTCTTGAATTCATTTAGATAAAAAAAAAAGTGTTGGGCTCACAGCTGTGAAGATAAAACACTGAGGTGACAGTGTTGTCAGACAAGATAGGACATACACCAAAGTAGATATTACAGCGAAGAGCCGAGGTAGAGATACACCAGGTGGGCTGTCAGAGGTGAACTGCCACAATTATATACCTTATCAGCCAATCAACACATCCCTTCATCAGTAGGAAAACACTGACCATAAATGTCAATCAAACACAAAATTTGAAAATTTGTAAGTTTTGTACAACACCAACGTTTTAATACCCTTGGCCAGTGACCTCCACTGAGGATCTGAAGGAGGGTCTAGCTTTCTGTCACTTTCTGTGATAGTCTTTGTTGATCGTGAAGAACTCACTGTTCGGACAGTTAAAGTCATATTGATACATGTTTATACCATAAACATAGTTATACCTTGTTGTATTTTTTGTTGTAATTACAATGTAATCTAAATACTGTATTGTAATTACTATGCAGTATATACCTCGTATTATTTTTTGTAATTAAAATGTAATACTGTATACGGGTTTATTTTCGCCTCAGTTTAGCTTTCGCCTTTTTCACTCTCCTTAATGAGGGCTAATTTATCATGACAGCTAATATTAGTAAACATTTTGTATACATATCAAACATATGCCAAGGGTAAAACTAACACTAGGCGAATATGGATTTTAATGGCAAAGGGCGAAAATACGACTGAGCGAAAGTTCCTCGGTAGACAGTATATCGACTATGTAGTCTGCATCTGTTGTTTTTTACAATCTAGTATACAGCAAGGTAAACAACATTAAATTCCTGTAAATCTTTAACACACAACCTCAACATCTATATTTCTTATTTTCAATTGAATTAGCATCTGATAAAATAATTTCCTAAGGAATGGTACCAGAGGTTTGAGATTTTATTAGAATACCTATTTCTGTGAGGAAGGATAAGTGACTTAAGCACATTTTCAGGAGGAAATGTACCTACAATTAATTTGAAAGTAAACATCTTCTCTTCTGTATCATTTAAGGGGCTATATATACACACACCTAATGAACCCCCGGGCAGCCTGTCATTTACAAACTCAGAATCAACATGTGTTCGTAAGCATATTATGAAAACATAAACACTTGGAGCTAGACCCATTCCTAATGACTTGTTCATGCAATCCTCTTTAATAAGACACTAGTGTTCGTTTACCCCGTGTTCCTATTACAGACAGCCAGATTGGGAAGCTAAATATGTGTTTCTATCTAGGAAACAAATTGAAACTTTTATTAAAATGAAATATTTGAAAATTTATTTGAGTGTCTATTAAATTAATCAAGAGTGTTATAAGACAGAGTGTTTTATAACACATTGGAAAAGGTGTTATCAGACATAAATAAATGTACTAAATACAGGCAGAATGGTATATAAGACAATGTGCTATAACACATAAAAAAGGTGGTATCAAATACAAGGTGGTGTCACGTACTGGTACGACATGGTGATATCAACAGATAGGGTGGTATCAGGTACATACAAAGTGGTATCAGAAACATACAAGGTGGTATCAGATACAGACAGGGTGATATCAGATACAGACAGGGTGGTATCAGGTACATACAAGGTGGTATCAGATACAGACATAGTGATATCAGATACAGACAGGGTGGTATCAGATACATACAAGGTGGTATCAGATACAGACAGAGTGATATCAGATACAGACAGGGTGGTATCAGGTACATACAAGATGGTATCACGTACTGGTACGACATGGTGATATCAACAGACAGGGTGGTATCAGGTACATACAAAGCGGTATCAGAAACATACAAGGTGGTATCAGATACAGACAGAGTGATATCAGATATAGACAGGGTGGTATCAGGTACATACAATGTGGTATCAGATACAGACAGGGAGGTACATACAAAGCGGTATCAGAAACATACAATGTGATATCAGATACAGACAGAGTGATAACATAAACAGACAGGGTGGTATCAGGTACAGACAGAGTGGTATCAGATACAGACAGGGTGGTATCAGAAACAGACAGGGTGGTATCAGGTACATACAAGGCGGTATCAGAAACATACAAGGTGATATCAGATACAGACAGAGTAATATCAGATACAGACAGGGTGGTATCAGAAACAGACAGGGTGGTATCAGGTACATACAAGGTGGTATCAGATACAGACAGGGTGGTATCAGGTACATACAAAGCGGTATCAGAAACATACAAGGTGATATCAGATACAGCCAGGGTGGTATCAGGTACAGACAGAGTGATATCAGATACAGACAGGGTGGTATCAGGTACATACAAGCGGTATTAGAAACATACAAGGTGATATCAGATACAGACAGAGTGATATCAGATATAGACAGGGTGGTATCAGGTACAGACAGAGTGATATCGGAAACAGACACAGAGTGATATCAGGTACATACAAAGCGGTATGAGAAACATACAAGGTGATATCAGATACAGACAGGGCGGTATCAGGTACATACAAGGTGGTATCAGATACAGACAGGGTGGTATCAGGTACATACAAGCGGTATCAGAAACATACAAGGTGACATCAGATACAGACAAAGTGATATCAGATACAGACAGTGTGGTATCAGGTACAGACAGGGTGGTATCAGGTACATACAAGGTGATATCAGATACAGACAGAGTGATATTAGATACAGACAGGGTGGTATCAGGTACATACAAAGTGGTTTCAGGTACATACAAGGTGATATCAGATACAGACAGAGTGATATCAGACACAGACAGAGTGATATCAGATACAGACAGGGTGGTATCAGGTACCAACAAGGTGGTATCAGGTACATACAAGGTGATATCAGATACAGACAGAGTGGTATCAGATACAGACAGGGTGGTATCAGGTACATACAAAGTGGTATCAGAACCATACAAGGTGGTATCAGAAACATACCAGGTGATATCAGATACAGACAGAGTGATATCAGATACAGACAGGGTGGTATCAGGTACATACAAGGTGGTATCAGAAACATACAAGGTGATATCAGATACAGACAGAGTGATATCAGATACAGACAGGGTGGTATAAGGTACATACAAGCAGTATTAGAAACATACAAGGTGATATCAGATACAGACAGAGTGATATCAGATACAGACAGAGTGATATCAGATACAGACAGAGTGATATCAGGTACATACAAAGCGGTATCAGAAACATACAAGGTGATATCAGATACAGACAGAGTGGTATCAGATACAGACAGGGTGGTATCAGGTACATACAAGCGGTATCAGAAACATACAAGGTGATATCAGATACAGACAAAGTGATATCAGATACAGACAGAGTGGTATCAGGTACATACAAGGTGGTATCAGGTACATACAAGGTGATATCAGATACAGACAGGGTCATATCAGATACAGACAGGGTGGTATCAGGTACATACAAAGTGGTATCAGGTACATACAAGGTGATATCAGATACAGACAGAGTGATCTCAGATACAGACAGAGTGATATCAGAAACAGACAGGGTGGTATCAGGTACAAACAAGGTGGTATCAGGTACATACAAGGTGATAGCAGATACAGACAGAGTGGTATCAGATACAGACAGGGTGGTATCAGATACATACAAGGTAGTATCAGACACATACAGATGGTATCAGATACAGATGGGGTGGTATAAGGTATCAGATGCAGACAGGGTGGTATCAGGTACAAACAAGGTGGTATCAGACACATACAATGTGGTATCAGATACAGACAGGGTGGTATCAGATACAGACATGGTGGTATCAGAAACAGACAGGGTGGTATCAGGTACATACAATGTGATATCAGAAACATACAAGGTGGTATCAATACAGACAGGGTGGTATCAGGTACATACAATGTGGTATCAGATACAGAGAGGGTGTTATCAGATACAGACAAGGTGGTATTAGGTTCATACAGGGTGGTATCAGATACAGACAGGATGGTATCAGGTACAGATAGAGTGATATCAGATACAGACAGGGTGGTATCAGGTACAAACAGGGTGGTATCAGAAACAGACAGGGTGGTATCAGGTACAGACAGAGTGGTATCAGATACAGACAGGGTGGTATCAGATACAAATAGGATGGTATCAGGTACAAACAGAGTGATATCGGATATGGACAGGGTGGTATCAGATACAGACCAGATAAAGACAGTATAATATCAAATACAGACAGGGTGGTATCAGATACAGATAGGATAGTATCAGTCACAGACAGGATGGTATCAAACACAGACAGGGTGGTATCAGTCACAGACAGGGGGGTATCAGTCACAGACAGGATGGGATCAAACACAGACAGGGTGGTATCAGATACAGACAGGATGGTATCAAACACAGACAGGATGGTATCAGATACAGACAGGGTGGTATCAGATACACACAGGGTGGTATCAGATACAGATAGGATGGTATCAGGTACAAACAGAATGATATCGGATATGGACAGGATGGTATCAGATACAGATAGGATGGTATCAGGTACAGACAGAGTGATATCGGAAACAGACAGGATGGTATCAGATACAGACCAGATATAGACAGTATGATATCAAATACAGACAGGGTGGTATCAGATACAGACAGGATGGTATCAAACACAGACAGGGTGGTATCAGACACAGACAGGATGGTATCAGATACAGACAGGGTGGTATCAGATACAGACAGGGTGGTATCAGACACAGACAGGGTAGTATCAGTCACAGACAGGGTGGTATCAAACACAGACAGGGTGGTATCAGACACAGACAGGATGGTATCAGATACAGACAGGGTGGTATCAGATACAGACAGGGTGGTATCAGATAATCAGATACAGACAGGGTGGTATCAGACACAGACAGGGTGGTATCAGTCACAGACCGGATGGTATCAAACACAGACAGGGTGGTATCAGACACAGACAGGGTGGTATATCAGACACAGACAGGGTGGTATATCAGACACAGACAGGACGGTATCAGATACAGACAGGGTGGTATCAGATACAGACAGGGTGGTATCAGATACAGACAGGGCTGTATCAGATACAGACAGGGTGGTATCAGACACAGACAGGGTGGTATCAGACACAGACAGGATGGTATCAGGAACAGACAGGGTGGTATCAGATACAGACAGGGTGGTATCAGATACAGACAGGGCGGTATCAGATACAGACAGGGTGGTATCAGACACAGACAGGGTGGTATCAGACACAGACAGGATGGTGTCAGGTACATACAATGTGGTATCAGAAACAGACAGGGTGGTATAAGATATAGACAGTATGATATCAGACACAGACAGGGTGGTATATCAGACACAGACAGGGTGGTATCAGACACAGACAAGGTGGTATATCAGACACAGACAGGATGGTATCATATATGGACAGGGTGGTAGCAAACACAGACAGGGTGGTATCAGACACAGACAAGGTGGTATATCAGACACAGACAGGATGGTATCATATATGGAGAGGGTGGTAGCAAACACAGACAGGGTGGTATCAGGCACAGACAAGGTGGTATATCAGACACAGACAGGATGGTATCAGATACAGACAGGGTGGTATATCAGACACAGACAGGGTGGTATCAGATATGGACAGGGTGGTATCAAACACAGACAGGGGGGTATCAGACACAGACAGGGTGGTATATCAGACACAGACAGGATGGTATCAGATATGGAGAGGGTGGCATCAAACACATTTAATGTGGTATTAGCTTCAAATTGTGGTCATCCCTCATTTTCTTGATTGTAATTAACACCCACTCTCATCACATCAGTGAGAAGGTACCTTGTTGGCTTTTTGGATGTGGGAGATACAAGTGATGAGGAATGTAGAAGGTTACATCTGTGGACTAATTACTGGGGGAAGGAAGAGTAACGGAGCATCTTACTTACCGACACAGTTAATACCTGGTCCTGGCTTCCATCAAATACGTATAAACATTGTTCTGTGTGGATGTTCACCAATCGCAGAGTCCTGAAATAGATACATACACATTGATGCTACATCACAAGTAATCTTCATTCATTATACCAATACTTTTAATGCGGTTTTCTTGTGTCTATACCCGTTCTAACTGTTTCCAAACAAGATAATCAGTGATGACAGCTTCCCACTGAACTGGAGATGCCCTGAGGAAAGTTTACAAACAACACAAATAGATTTATTATCAGTCTCTACAACCCATTACCAAACTAAACCCCTCCGAATTGTTACATGCATCAATGTCCGCCCTCCTCCAAGCCTCAGTAGCTTGATCAAGTGAACATATCTGGTACCCAAACCTCCACATTATACTTAGTACTTATAACATTTTAACAATGGATTTATGCAACAACAAGAACAAATAACTTATGTAAAAAATAGCATTAAATTGACCTGTATATGAAGACTGTGAGAGTCTGTAGACACCATGTGCGAGTGTTAAGATGGCTAATCATTGGTCGTGGCTTCCTTGACAGGACCAGCACTAGACCTGAGCCTGAACCCACACTGAACCATCCCCAACTACAGGTGCTGTATCCCAGCTATCCCCCTCCGACAAACAACATCCTTTACAAGGGGAAAGCACTTAAAAATTAATTGACCAAAAGGAAATGTATGTGGAACTGTTGACTGTTGATTGTGGGAGGTCAGTATCTACGTTTTATTTCACTGTTTGACCCTTACTTTGAATTGCGATGTTAAAACAGGAGTGTAAACATTCCTTTGAATTACCGACTAATGATTGGGTCTTAAAGGGATTGGAAATGTAACGGGTCTTAAAGGGATTGGAAATGTAACATGTCAAAATGATTTTAAATCCACCAGTTTGAATCCCCGATGGATTCCAAAGCTTCATTGCACTTTACCAGGCGGCGATCAAAAAAATAAAAAACGAAAAACAGTACAAGTGTGAGGCTTAAATTCCTCTTAGGTATTGGCATCAGATATGAATCATAAATTCAAAATCAATTAAGGCAGCACTTGAAAAAAAGTAAAACATGAAAAAAATTCATTTGAAACACTACAGTAAATGTAAATATGATTGATAATATGTTTAAATTTTATGCCATAAATCAGTTTTTTTACTTCTAAGTCATTATTCTAAATGCTGCGAGCTGTGAATTTAGCCATGATTCTATGCTATATATACTAATCAACCATGTGGATTTTCTCCCGCTACTCTGGAAGTTTCCTCCACAAATAAGACCTACTAAATGTTTCCATACAGGCCAATAAACATTGATAAAACTTACTTCATATATAAATTGTCGTAAAATAGACCAGAACTATAAGCCACAGGCTAACTAAATACTCACGCCCCCTCAAAGTAAAACTGTTGCATCAATTTCATTTAAGGATGGTAAAGGATTTCATTTTGACAAAATTAATAAATGGGAATCAGAAATAGGCATATAACAGTTATCAAAATGAGCACAACTAAATAGGAAAAGATCCATTAAAGAAAGTTCCATAAATGTCTGTCAAGAATGGACAGGAGACAGGAGATATGTCCAGGTGAGAGGGGATATTGATATAAGGCCGGGGATGTGGACAGGAGACATAGGATATGTCCAGGTGAGAGGGGATATTGATGTAAGGCCGGGGATGTGGACAGGAAACATAGGATATGTCCAGGTGAGAGGGGATATTGATGTAAGGCCGGGGATGTGGACAGGAGACATAGGATATGTACAGGTGAGAGGGGATATTGATGTAAGGCCGGGGATGTGGACAGGAGACATAGGATATGTACAGGTGAGAGGGGATATTGATGTAAGGCCGGGGATGTGGACAGGAGACAGGAGATATGTACAGGTGAGAGGGGATATTGATGTAAGGCCGGGGATGTGGACAGGAGACAGGAGATATGTACAGGTGAGAGGGGATATTGATGTAAGGCCGGGGATGTGGACAGGAGACAGGAGATATGTACAGGTGAGAGGGGATATTGATGTAAGGCCGGGGATGTGGACAGGAGACAGGAGATATGTACAGGTGAGAGGGGATATTGATGTAAGGCCGGGGATGTGGACAGGAGACAGGAGATATGTACAGGTGAGAGGGGATATTGATGTAAGGCCGGGGATGTGGACAGGAGACAGGAGATATGTACAGGTGAGAGGGGATATTGATGTAAGGCCGGGGATGTGGACAGGAGACAGGAGATATGTACAGGTGAGAGGGGATATTGATGTAAGGCCGGGGATGTGGACAGGAGACAGGAGATATGTACAGGTGAGAGGGGATATTGATGTAAGGCCGGGGATGTGGACAGGAGACAGGAGATATGTACAGGTGAGAGGGGATATTGATGTAAGGCCGGGGATGTGGACAGGAGACAGGAGATATGTACAGGTGAGAGGGGATATTGATGTAAGGCCGGGGATGTGGACAGGAGACAGGAGATATGTACAGGTGAGAGGGGATATTGATGTAAGGCCGGGGATGTGGACAGGAGACAGGAGATATGTACAGGTGAGAGGGGATATTGATATAAGGCCGGGGATGTGGACAGGAGACAGGAGATATGTACAGGTGAGAGGGGATATTGATATAAGGCCGGGGATGTGGACAGGAGACAGGAGATATGTACAGGTGAGAGGGGATATTGATATAAGGCCGGGGATGTGGACAGGAGACAGGAGATATGTACAGGTGAGAGGGGATATTGATATAAGGCCGGGGATGTGGACAGGAGACAGGAGATATGTACAGGTGAGAGGGGATATTGATGTAAGGCCGGGGATGTGGACAGGAGACAGGAGATATGTACAGGTGAGAGGGGATATTGATATAAGGCCGGGGATGTGGACAGGAGACAGGAGATAAGTACAAGTGAGAGGGGATATCAATATAAGGCCGGGGATGTGGACAGGAAACAGGAGATATGTACAGGTGAGAGGGGATATTGGTATGAGGCCGGGGATGTGGACAGGAGACATAGGATATGTACAGGTGAGAGGGGATATTGATATAAGGCCGGGGATGTGGACAGGAAACAGGAGATATGTACAGGTAAGAGGGGATATTGATATAAGGCCAGGGATGTGGACAGGAGACAGGAAAAATGTACAGGTGAGAGGGGATATTGATGTAAGGCCTGGGATGTGGACAGGAGACAGGAGATATGTACAGGTGAGAGGGGTATTGATGTAAGGCCAGGGATGTGGACAGGAGACAGAGGATATGTACAGGTGAGAGGGGATATTGATATAAGGCCGGGGATCTGGACAGGAAACAGGAGATATGTACAGGTAAGAGGGGATATTGATGTAAGGCCGGGGATGTGGACAGTAGACAGGAGATATGTACAGGTGAGAGGGGATATTGATGTAAGGCCAGGGATGTGGGAGATATGTACAGGTAAGAGGGGATATTGATATAAGGCCGGGGATGTGGACAGGACAGGAGAGATATGTACATGTAAGAGGGGATATTGATGTAAGGCCGGGGATGTGGACAGGAGACACAGGATATGTACAGGTGAGAGGGGATATTGATGTAAGGCCAGGGATGTGGACAGGAGACAGAGGATATGTACAGGTGAGAGGGGATATTGATGTAAGGCCAGGGATGTGCACAGGAGACATAGGATATGTACAGGTGAGAGGGGATATTGATATAAGGCAGGGGATGTGGACAGGAGACATAGGATATGTCCAGGTGAGAGGGGATATTGATATAAGGCTGGGGATGTGGACAGGAGACAGGAGATATGTACAGGTGAGAGGGGATATTGATGTATGGCCAGAGATGTGGACAGGAGACATAGGATATGTACAGTTGAGAGGGGATATTGATGTAAGGCCGGGGATGTGGACAGGAGACATGAGATATGTACAGGTGAGAGGGGATATTGATGTAAGGCCGGGGATGTGGACAGGAGACAGGAGATATGTACAGGTGAGAGGGGATATTGATGTAAGGCCGGGGATGTGGACAGGAGACAGGAGATATGTACAGGTGAGAGGGGATATTGATGTAAGGCCGGGGATGTGGACAGGAGACAGGAGATATGTACAGGTGAGAGGGGATATTGATGTAAGGCCGGGGATGTGGACAGGAGACAGGAGATATGTACAGGTGAGAGGGGATATTGATGTAAGGCCGGGGATGTGGACAGGAGACAGGAGATATGTACAGGTGAGAGGGGATATTGATGTAAGGCCGGGGATGTGGACAGGAGACAGGAGATATGTACAGGTGAGAGGGGATATTGATGTAAGGCCGGGGATGTGGACAGGAGACAGGAGATATGTACAGGTGAGAGGGGATATTGATGTAAGGCCGGGGATGTGGACAGGAGACAGGAGATATGTACAGGTGAGAGGGGATATTGATGTAAGGCCGGGGATGTGGACAGGAGACAGGAGATATGTACAGGTGAGAGGGGATATTGATGTAAGGCCGGGGATGTGGACAGGAGACAGGAGATATGTACAGGTGAGAGGGGATATTGATGTAAGGCCGGGGATGTGGACAGGAGACAGGAGATATGTACAGGTGAGAGGGGATATTGATGTAAGGCCGGGGATGTGGACAGGAGACAGGAGATATGTACAGGTGAGAGGGGATATTGATGTAAGGCCGGGGATGTGGACAGGAGACAGGAGATATGTACAGGTGAGAGGGGATATTGATGTAAGGCCGGGGATGTGGACAGGAGACAGGAGATATGTACAGGTGAGAGGGGATATTGATGTAAGGCCGGGGATGTGGACAGGAGACAGGAGATATGTACAGGTGAGAGGGGATATTGATGTAAGGCCGGGGATGTGGACAGGAGACAGGAGATATGTACAGGTGAGAGGGGATATTGATGTAAGGCCGGGGATGTGGACAGGAGACAGGAGATATGTACAGGTGAGAGGGGATATTGATGTAAGGCCGGGGATGTGGACAGGAGACAGGAGATATGTACAGGTGAGAGGGGATATTGATGTAAGGCCGGGGATGTGGACAGGAGACAGGAGATATGTACAGGTGAGAGG